TCGAGGGCACGCCTGTGCTCACACAAATGGACACGAGGTTCGCAAGGACGATGACGTTCCCCAGGTAGTCAAAGTAGCAGTGGCCGAACAGGAACTGCGCGACCCGCAGGAACGGGGACTGGTACTCGGGCCGTGGCGGGTGCTGGGGGGACACATGCTCAGAATCAGGGCCCTGCCCCTCATCCTGGGACCCGACGTCCCTCCCCTGATCCCTGCCCATCTACCAGCCCATGGGAATCACCACAAACCCCGGCGCGGTCCCTCACACGGAGACGCCATCACAGTCTTTGTAACAACAGAGGCAGCAGTGCCCTGAGCGTGCCTGGCACCGAAAGGAACCACAACAAGACAGCACACAGCCATCTTACGTGTTTGCCACGATGTGAAAAGCGTTATGTGAAAAACACAGATAAATTCCCTGCTGAGAACTACGAAAACATGGTGCAGAGCAAGACAGGGGTGGGAAGCGATGGAGGGCACTTTGGCAGTAAACACGGACATGAAACACTGGGAAGAGGTGCGACAGGAACCGCCCCAATGTGCCTCTGAGTGGACGGGGACGCAGAGGTGAGGAGCGCGAGAGTGCCCGCACCCGCCCCGGCCCACAGCGGCCACGGACTGCACGGGGCTACTGCGTTCACGGGCAATCAAATAAAACAGCCTGATGGTGTGGCTCAGTGGTTGAGCGTCAACCTATGAACCAGGAGGTCATGGTCCATTCCTGGTCGGGGCACATGCCCGAGTTGTGGGCTCTGTTCCCCATGAGGAACATACAGGAGGCAGCCATCAATGACCTAGAAAGACTTTAGGAAACTTGTCCATAAGGAACCTGCCCTGACAGAAGCCCCAAGGGAGACCACGCATGCTGCAAAGCTGACAACTTTCACCGGCTGAATCGTGTCCCACTGAAATGCCCACTGGGAGTCCTAACCCCTAGCACTCAGAACGTGACGTGTGTAGAAAAAGGCTCTCTAAAGCAGCGGTCGCCAATCGGTGGCCCGCGGACCACTGGTGATCTGTGAGGTGCGAAAGGTGGGCGGCCGCTGCTCGAAAGAGTATTAACATAGAAGGTTAGTAGGCGGCCCTAATCCCACAGGACTGGGTCCTTATAAGAGGAGGTCAGGACACAGACACACACAGTGGGACCACATGGGGACTCAGGGAGAAGACACCATCTACACACCCAGGAGGGAGGCCTTGGGAGGAACCAGCCCTGGACACCCGGGTCTTGGACTCCCCTGCTGCCTGCTGCCCACACCCCATTCTCGAAGGCCAAGTGGTTGGACCAGCAACCCCATCCAGACCCTGTACGCCTGGGTCTTGGACTCTAGTCTCCAGGACGGGGACAGTAAAGCCTGCTGGTTGAGCCGCCAGCCTGGCACTTGCCACAGCCGCTGAGCTGACTGAGCAGCGGCACAGAGCTGTGCAGAGTCCGGCCAGCTGATGTCGGACTCCCCCACTGCCTGCTGCCCACACCCCATTCTCGAAGCCCAAGCGACTGGACCAGCAATACCCCCCTTCTCCTGTGAGCCTCAGCATCTCCAGGAAACCCTCTACGTAAAACGCAGGCGGGGCGTCTGCACATGGTGCTGAGCAGGACACCGCGGCCCATGTGGGGGTTTCACCCATGAGGTCAGGACAAAGACCACGGCTTTACAGCTCGGAGCCCCCGCAGAAGGACATGGGGAAGAGGATGTTTGTCATGGAGACAGAGAAAGCCATTTGGAAGATTCCTCGGTGGCTTTCATGAGGGCAACCACACCTCCCAGCTTCCAACAGCCAACCATCTCCGTCCCTTTACCGTCCTAGGGGCCAGAATCCCTGGGCAGGCCAGTCCCGGCACCAGTCACCACGTTACCCAGGCAGTCAAGCCCTCCGCCTCTGCAAACTCCCCCCTGACCTGGGAGCCCTGGCCCAGTTACCTCCTTCATCAGACTTTTGTCAAGCTCGTTGAACAGCTTCTGAAACTCATCAGCTGACAGCAGGCCATCACCATGGGAGCGCACCTTCTGCAAAGCAGGGAGGCACAGGTCAGCAGGCCAAGGCCAGAGCAAGAGGGTGAGCCCCCCCCACCGTCCCAGATGGTCTGGCCCCCGCTGCTCTGAGATAACACCCGTCCTGATCAGGGGCTGCTGGCCCACAGGACCACCAGGAGGAGCATGGCCAGGGAGGCCGGGGAGGCCGGGGAGGCCGGGGAGGGCGGGAGGCCAGGGAGGGCGGGGGCTGGTACCTCCATGATGGCCTGCTTGTGGGTGCTGTCCACCTGGACTTTCTGAAGCACCTGCAGGAGATCCTGGGCCTTCACCCCAACTCTGTGGGAAAAAACACCCACACCCAGTGAGCTCACTATCTCAGTCCCCCGGGCGCCCGACCTCTGGCCTGAACCGCGCAGCCCTGGGCGATGGCAAGGCCTCCACAGGAGCAACCGCAGGCATCCAGCCATCCTCTAACATCCCAAGACAGTGTCAGGTCCTCCCCGAGGGGGCGAGAGGCAGGGCGCTGACGGGCAGCCTCCAACCAGGTGCAGTGGGGAGGCTGGTCCCTCTGTTCCCAACACCCAGCTTGGGGCCCTGTTTCTCAACACACAGCTTGGGGCTCAGTGTGTGGGGAGGGAAGGGTGTGATGGGTGAGCATGCAGAGTCGCTGGGTCACCGGGAGCACGGGGCGGGCAGGTGAGAGGCGAGCGGGCGCGTGACACGGGAGCTGTCAAGTTCGCAGGAGCTCGCGGGGTGGCGGGGTGGTACTTAGCTCCAGCCCCAATGCACACCACGGCCCCCCTCCTCTCCCGCACCAGGGAGCCCCGCACTCACTCCTGAGGGTGGGCTTCTCTGTCCGCCATCCAGGAGAGGATCTTGTAGGCATCCCGGGTCCCAGCCGCTTCCAGAATAGAGAGGCCTGGACAGATTTCTGCAAAGAAGGGGGCCTCTGATTGGTCTGGCCGGGCCAGCAGGACAGCACAGCCCTCAGCCCGCAGGGCTCTGAGGGCCTCCCCGGTCGGGACAGTCACAGACCCTGAGGATGGTTTCGCAGGAAGGAGCCGAGGGCACTGGCTGAGCCAGTCCCTAGGGCATGTGTTCCCTCCCCGTGCAGTGGGGGTCCTGGCTCGCTCACAGGAGGGTCCAGAGTCCATTGCCCTGGCAGCTGTAATCTTGTCGCTTCCCTCAGAGAAGCAGGATGCGGCACAGCTCCAGCTCATCCACAAGAGGGAGCCAGAGGGCAGTGCAGAGACCACTGTGGACCCTACCCCCATGGGGACCTGGCCAGGCCCCCACAGGCTGCTTGGCTCGGGCCGGGCCGGCTACCTCGCAGCCTCACTCACCAGCAGGTAGCCCCGGAACTGATTGTAGATGATGGCCGTCAGCAGGTTCATCAAAAACAAGCTTCCTTCAGGAAGAAAACGCCTCGGTCAGTGAGGAGCAGCAGCTGAGGGGGCCTGGGGGCAGTGCCCAGAGGTGCAGAGGGTCGCACGGGCACAGCAACCCCAGGGGTGCCATCAAAAAGGGCCCGGACGATCGCAGAGCAGGAAGTGGCCTGGGCACGTCACTCACTGTCCTCATCTACACAGTGCAGGTGCCACCCGGCCTGCCCAGCGTGGGCACTGAGGACAGCGGTCTCAGTGGTCACCGACTGCAGACAGGGCATGCCCCCCCAACCCCCCAAGGTGAAGTCACAGGGTCGGGGACCCCCCTGAGGTGAAGTCATAGGGTCGGGGCCACACTGAGGTGAAGTCACAGGGTTGGGCAGCACACCTACCCCTGAGCATCAGCGGGGACAGAATTTTACCCCAGTGACCCCTGCAGACCCACCCAGACTCACCGATCAGGGTGAAAACTATGAAGAAGAGGGCAAAGGCCCGGTTCTTGGAATACGCAGGAACCATGACTGAGGAAGAAATCAGAGAAACTGAAACAGGCTCACAGCTCAGCACTGGTCCCGCTCCTGCCATGCCCAGACCCTTGGCCTTCTCTGGAGCGGGCTCTGCCCAGGGAGAGCTGGAGCCTCCTGGTCCAAACTCTGACCCTCCCGCCTCCACTCGCACACCCCTGGTCATGGGGAGCTCACTACCGTCAAGGATGCCCACCCCTTCTGCTGAGCTGACGTCTGCCTCCTGGGACCACCCCACAGGCTGAAAGCCCAGCTCTCCCTCGGGGACGGGCTAGGGCTCTCAGGACCTGTGGGCACGGGGCTGAGTCCCGCGGCACTGCTCTGCGGTGGAAGCCAAGGCTGCGCTCCTGGGAAGGTCTCTGTGGTGGTGACCATCCCGAGTCCAAGACGAAGAGACCAGCCCAGGTGGCCGGTCACAGCCGGGCCTTAGAGGACGACAGCCACCGTCCTGGCCACCCCTGGCCCGAGCAGACACAGGCCCCATCAGCAACCCAAAGGGGACACCATGGCCAGGGACAACCCGGGGCCTCACACACACAACTGCTGAGCCGCACCCCACAGCTGGGGAAATGGTGGGGCCCCAGAGGCCAGCGGGGGGCCCCCTGACAGACACTGCCGTTCCTCACCACATAAAGGACAGCTTTTAGCTTCTCAGAGGAGTCAGGAGAGAAGGGGAAAGAGGAGACAGGGAACAGTTATAAAAGGAGGGACGAGAAAGTAAAATGAAAAGGGAAGGAAAAAGTAGAAAAAAGGAAAAAGGGGGAAAGGAAAACAAGAAAGGAAGGCAGGCGGGAGGGGGGGATCCAGGTCACCCTGCTTCCCTCCGCCTGCTGAGCTGGAGGCCTCGGACACCCCGGCTCTCGGCTCCGCAGGAACCAGGCCTCCCCCGCTTGCCCGCTGGCCAGCCCACGCCCGCCCAGCCCGCTGCTCACGCACCGTCAGGGTTGTTGGCCGTGGTCAGCAGCACCAGGAGCGAGGTCAGGGACTCCGCCAGGTCGCGGAAGTAGATCAGCCTCTCCCTGTCCTGCCCATCGCCCTGCTGAGAGCAGAGGGGGCAGCCCTCAGGAGCCACGCGGGCCCGCTCCCCGCCAGCTCAGGCCGTGGCCCAGCAGAGCTCCAGGCCTGGACCCAGCCAGGGGGACCCTCCTACCCACGGCCAACCATCCACTCTCCTCAGCCCAGGCCCCTCCCTGAAATCAGCAACCCTCTGGGCCCAACTGCCGCGGGCTCTGCAGGAGAGAAGCAAGGGCGGCCACTGCACGGCCCCTGGGGCCTGAGAGTCTGCCAGCTGGTCCCGCCCAGACACACACACACACACACACACACACACACACACACGGGGGGGTGAGGGGTGAGACAGTCCTCAGTCTCCCTTGTGGGCAGCTCAGCACCAAGCCCCGAACACTGCCACAAGCTAATGAAGACCAGCCCTGGCCAAGCACTGGCCACATTCCGCAGACAGAAATGCAGGGCAGCTCTGGCCTGAGGAGGACAGTGACCTGGCCAGGAAGTGAGGACACACACGGGACCACAGATGTGCGGGTGTGGGGGGTGACGGGGCAGGCACCGCCACACAGCAACAAGCTGCTGGGGGCCGGAAGCAGCAAGGGCAGGAGCGGAGGGGACCAGGCAAAGGCCAGGGCTGGAGAAGAGGGACATGGTGAGAGGTGCCTGCTGGACAGACGGACAGGTGCTGTGAGAGGGGCCATCCCGCCGGCCCCAAGTGCCAATCTGAGGGGCCTGTCTAGGAGGGTGCAGAGAAAGCCCAGTCAGAGCCTGGGGAGGGGAGGGAAGAGGAGGCAGCCAGGCAGAGGCAGAGCGACCCGGAGCCCAGGAGGCCCGGGCAGGGGAGCAGTGGGCCAGCTCTAAACCGGGGTCATCTGAAGCAAGACAGCGGACTGCAGGTGGCACCACTGCGCTTCCCGTGAGGTGGGCAGCAGTCCTCTTCTCTGCTGGCCCGAGAACCACCCAACGGGGTTCCCACGAGGCGGACTCACAGAGGGCCCACCCCGCCATCAAACCGAGCAGAGCGGCTGAGGCCGGTACCTTGTTGCCGGTGAAGAGCAGCATCCCGAGCATGGTGAAGACGCACAGGTGCAGCGCCAGCAGCAGCACCACGCTGGAAGGACGGGCGCGGGCTCAGCACCGGGCAGGTGCCCGCATGCCCAACGGGATGGGGGTCCAGGAACCCAGCCACCCAGGGAGCTCCCGCAGCCAGCCTTAGGGCAGGTGCCCTCTCTGCCCCACAGCCTGCCATGCACCCAGCGGGGTCCTGCCCTAACCGAGCCTCTTTCTTTGGCAGGGACAACCCACAACCCAGGGGCATGTCCCAGGAGTCCCAGGACCCCAGGGGCTGGAGGGTGAGGGTCACCCACGTGGGCCATGAGGGGAGCCCCAGACGCCAACCACAGGGCAGGGAGCAGGACAGCCCGTCCTGCCTGCACGCCTGGCGCAGCCCACCTGGCCATTTCCGGCAGCGACCACCGGATGCACTTGAGCATCTTCTTCATCATGGAGGAGTTCTGCAGCAGGAAGAAGGGCCGCAGCAGCCGGCGCAGCCGCAGGGGCTGGAAGAGACCAGGACACTGAACGCCAGGCCGGGCTTTCAAGTGCCACCCACACCCCACATCTCCCTCTGGACTCCCAAGTTCAACCACAGAGACCCTCCCGGGCCACACGCCCCAGCTGCTTCCCTCCCGGCTCCTGGTCACAGCCCTGAAGTCAGCATTTTGAAAAACCCTAACTTAACTCTGGTGCCGTGTCACATATAGAAATTTTTTGATATTTGCAACCATAGTAAAACAAAGACTTATATTTTTTATATTTATTTTATATATTTAAACACCATTTAACAAAGAAAAATCAACCAAAAAAAATGAGTTCGCGTGTCACCTCTGACACGCGTGTCATAGGTTCACCATCACTGTATGGAGTGACTTGTCTTAGAAACGTAAGGCTGGCCATGTCACCTTCCGGCCCAAGCGTCCAGGGCTGCCTGGGCCCTCCAGCCCGGCCCCGCCGCCCCTCACCATCCCGCTGGCACAGCACTCAGCCCCCGTCTGCTCAGCCAGCTGGCTGTCCCTGTCACCGTCCCTCCCGTCTCGGTGGAAGAGCCACCTCCTCAAGTGCTGCCCTGGGCCACTTTCCCTGGCACTGAGATCCCAGTACCCATCCGGTGTTTCCTGGGACCGCCAGTCTCTCCCCGCAGCACTGGCGCACAGTAGGCCCTCCACCTGGCAAGGATGCCCTGCACCTCCCTGCCCAGCACTCCTCTCGGAAGGGCCCCTGTGCCCCGCACAGCACCTCAAAGGCCAAGGACCGACAGTACACGGGCACCCACACCCCCACACCCTGCCCACAGCCCCCTGCACAGGAGCTCCGTCCCAGGCCCAGCCAGAGTCCCGGGCCTCCCTCCAGGTGCCGCCGGCACCCCGGTCTCGGACCCTTGGCTGTGGTCAGACACGGACCAGAGTGCGGCTTCCAGACACAGTAACCCAGTCCCCAGCGCTTCCCAAGCTGAGGCCACGTCAGGGCAGGGACATGCGGAGCTCACAGGGGGTGGGAGGCACCGCCATGAGGCTCGCCTGCAGGAGGAGCCAGCCCAGCGCCTGGGAAGCCCTGGCAAGGCCACCCGGGCACTGCAGCCCAGGTCCCAAGGCTTTGGGGAGGAGCCACCAACTGCTCTACAGACGCTAGTCTCCTGTGAGCAACAGCCACGCTGAGCCGTGACCATGGCCCCTCGGTGACCTGCAGCCCACATGTAACCCGCCCCGCTCGGCCTCAAGTTGGGGGAGGAACAGGCAGTCAGGTAGACATGGAAGTGAGATGGGGCTCAAGCAGGTCAGGGGCCCCAAGGCCTCCCCGAGGGCCCCCGATGCCTGCGGAGTTCCTGCTGACCAGCCAGCTGGCCACGGAGACAAACCTCGGGCCTCGTGTGCAGACGGGTCTGGGTGTTGGGCCAGCCCCAGGCAGAAGTCAGTCCCTAAGACAGTGGTTCTCAACTTTCCTAATGCTGCGACCCTTTAATACAGTTCCTCATGTTGTGGTGACCCCCAATTTCATTGTTACAAATTGAACATAATTAAAGCACAGTGATTAATCACAAAAACAATATGTAATTATGTATGTGTTTTCCGATGGTCTTAGGCGACCCCTGTGAAAGGGTCATTCGACCCCCAAAGGGGTCGCGACCCACAGGTTGAGAACCGCTGGTCTAAGAGATGGCGCCGAGGAAAAGCTCTGCCGGGGGCAGGTCACTGGACTGAGAAAGGTTACGCTTCCTGGTGGGTGGTCAGGGCCTGGAGGGAACAGGCTGGACAACCGGGGACGAGGACGCCTGCGGAGGACACGTGTGGGCAGGAGGGAACGCACCCCAGGGCATCCCCCAGGATGACAGTCCGTGGATGTCCCCGAGCCCCTCAACACCCCACTCCGATCTCCAGGGACAGAGGCCACTACCGAGGGCCCATCCTGCCAGAGCAGAGCCCAGGCCGGCCCCCATGTAGCCCCTGGAGGGTGGCGACTGCCCAGCCCTCACCCCTGCAGGGCGCTGCTCTGCGCACTCTGGGCAGACAGGTGTGCGGGTTGGGGCTCCGCCTGCCCTGCCTGAGGCCTCTCCCAGGACCACCCACACCTCAGGGCCAACCCCGCTTCAGACCAGGGCAGAGCTCACAGCCCTCGCCGGCCTCGCCCACAGCAGGCAGCCTGTGGGTGGACCCCGGGCCCTAGGAAGGCCCAGGAACACAGGGCGAAAGGGATGGAACACCTCCGCTCCCTGCCCCAGCTCCGGGCCTGCCGGCTGCGAATGCTGCTTCTAAAGGGGGTGCTCCCCCCAAGGACACACCATGACTCTTGGCCAGTGGGGTGAGTGGTCCATTTCCAAGGACAGATTGGGGGGCTACTGTCCAGTAACCAGAGGCAGGACCACCGAGCACTGAGGCCCCTCAGGAACGAATGTGGCCCCCCCACCAGATAACGAACCCAGACCAGCTGGGAGTACGTGGGTGGGAGCAGGAGGAAGTTACAGATTTCTGTTAGAACCGGCGACCAGCAGCAACACAGACAGGGCTGTGTGTATTAGCCAATCTTCCTCCCAGCGTCATCCAAGGATTGGGGGTGGTGAGGGTCACAATTTAGGCTGAAGTGACAGAAGGTTTGAGTGGCCGGTAACACGGACGCAATGATGGCACTCAGAAATGGAGCCAGTGGAGGCGCCTCCCAGAACCAACCTCATCGAGCCTCTGAGCGACACCAGAGGGTGCCCTCCCCAGAGGTCAGAGGGCAGGTCCCAGCTCTGGGAGCCCGGGGTGGGGGAGGGGGTGCTTCCCCGCAGTTCTCTCTGAGTTCCACTGGGCCCCCTTTTTGCTCTTGCAGTTACTCAACCCCTGCTTAAGTCCCCGTGTCAAATTCCCTCCACTAAAGCCCCTGGTGGGCCTCCAGTATTGTGTCCCTCACCAGCCCTGATGGACACGACGTCCCCAAACCAACTCTTCCCAGCTCTGTCCCACCGAACCACAAGTGCTCCTGGGTGTTCTGAGGGGAAGCGAAGAGGCTGCAGTCAAACGGGCAGAGCCGCCTGCTCCCATGGGATTTCCCCTGTCGGGGTCACAGAGCTCTGGGCGTGTGGCTAGGGTGAGGCCCTGGGGTGGTGCTTAATGGGGGACCCATCCAGTCAAGGAATCAGCTTAAAGGAGTGGAGCAGGAATCGGGACCCTGGAACATGCTCTCAGGTCTTCCCGCCTTCTCCAGGCCTCAAGGTCATCCCAAGGTGGGAACGGGCTCCCTAGGCAATGAGTGACACACGGCTATGCAGGGAGGGCTATGCAGGGCAGGCGGAGCGGGAGCTGGGAGCTGGGAGCTGGGTGGGTGGGTGGAATGACTGCAGGACCTCAGGACACCAGCTGTTCACCTGGGCAGCTACACTGTGCACCCTGCCCAGAGCTCCCCACTCCCGCCCCAGAGCCACCTCACCACCTACCTCCTGGCAGACGAGACTCAGCGACACCATCCAGTCCACGAAAGACACGACCAGCACCACCAGGTAGGCCAGCAGCCACAGGCTCTTCCGGAACTGGGGCCACCCAACCAGGTAGCTCTGCAAGAGAGACAGTGGGTGAGTGGGTGGGCGGTGGGCATCCGTGCAGATGGCCCTGCAGCCAGTCGAGGCTGTCGGTGCACACGGCAAGGCTGGGTGGCCGGGGCAGAGCACCTCAGCAAGCAGCGTGGTCTCTACGTGACGTGGGGAGCAAGAAACAGAGCTCCCTCCCAGCCCCCAGAGACCTCAGGCGCTGAGGACCTTGAGCTTGGCACCTAACAGCTCAGGCGCCGGTTTCCTCATCGGTAATTCGGTCCCTGCCAGCTCTGCCCATCTGTTAGGGGCTAAAATGGAATATTGAGAATAGAGCTATATGAAATGTTAATCATGCTCTGTTAACCTTGATTGTCTTGTTCTAATTAAAGAATGGACATGCTAACCTGGCTTGGAGTTGTACGGCCTCTGGGACCTGAGGGTCAACCTTGGACCTGGCAGTAAACCTTGGAATGAGATCCATTCTCATTCAACAACTGCCTATTATCATGGAAAGATTAACAACCCAGATGCCCAAACAATGGGGTCCCACCCCAGCCTGCTCTGCCCACTTCCCCAGGCCTGTAATACCCATTTTGCATACCCATCCTTATCCCCTTTGCCTACTTCCCATGTAACCCTTATCCTACCAATATAAACAGCGGGGGAGGGTGCAGAGCAGATTTTCGTGGATGACCCGCTGCTCTCCCACGCTGCCGGCATTACTGGAATAAACGCTCATATATGATTCAACCCTGTCTCTGCTGAATTGGCATGAGTAGTGACGGGCAGCCCAGACCCATTGGTTGTCCAGTGTCACGTCCAACCATCTGTTTAGTTTGTGCGACAAAATGCAAAGGCACAGGACTCACTGTAGGAAAGACTAGGAAACAGCACCTAACTGCTATTTCCCACCATCACTAGCGCCTTCAGGTGAACTCGGTCACCTTTTGAGATTTCCCCAACATCCAGACCATTCAAGAAATGCTAATGAGTACTTCTCACCAGTTTCAGTTCCAGTTTAAAAACCCCCAAGACCTCCTAACCACAAAATGAGCTAAAAAGAAGAAATAAGAAACTGCTGAGGCCCTCAGTCACAGACGCACCCACGCCTCTCTTGGTCAGCATCCCAGGCTGACCCACCCTGCCCTCAGCAGGACTGCCCGTGTGACCCGGAGCCCACAGACAGGAGCAGCCCACACTGTGGGCCAGGCAGAGCGCTGGAACCCTCGGAAGCGCTGGAATCCTCCTTTGAGGACCCAGCCCCTCCTCGCTTTAAGGCTCCAAGGCTCTGACCCAATCAGAAGCTCAAGTGAGCAAGGCAGGGCCAGCCCCAGCTCTGCATGGACTCAGGTCACAGACAGAATCCAGAGTCGGCGCGAGGCGGAAGCTGCTGCATAACCGACCCCTTTCCACCCCCCCCTTCCCCCCACCTCCTCCCCTGTGCTTCTCCACTCCCCGGGAGGGAGGGTGGGCTGGGATCTATCCTCGGGCCAGACCACGCCCACGGGTCCCGCATGGCTGCAGCCCTTGACGGCCCCACCTGGACTGTTTTCACGCTGAGAGCCACCCAGCCTCTGCTTCAAGGCCAGAGTTTTCCAAGAAACGGAGGCCTCTGTCCAGCGGGTCAAAGTGCACAGGCTGCAGATTTGGCGGATAGCTCTGGGGGCGTTAAAAATCAATGAGAGCCCTGGCCCGGTGGCTGAGGGGTCCTGTACACCAAAAGGCTGCGAGTTCGATCCCTGGTTGGGGGTGGGCACAGGAGGCAACCAATGGATGGACACATCAATGCCTCTCTCTCTCTCTCTCTCTCTCTCTCTCTCTCTCTCTCTCATCTTTAAAAAAACAAAATCATCATTGGGTGAGAACTAAAAATAAATAAACCAGAAAAGCAGCAAGCAGGTTGGGAGGGTGCAGGGTCCCGGGCTGCCACCGGCTCACCTTCACAGAGAGGTCGGTCGCGAAGCCCAGCAGGCAGAGGACCTCGATGCTCTCCGTCAGGCCGCAGGGCGGGTTCCAGGGCTTCGAGCGGTAGCGGACGTCCGAGGTGCTGGTGAACGAGGAAGGGGTCTCAATAAAAGCCAAAAACAGGATCAAGAAAATGATGAAGCCCAAAATCCTGGAAAGGGAACCAAAAAAAAAAGATTAGAACGTGAGAACCAGCCACACTCTGGGCGAAAAACCAGATGGGCAGGCAGAACACCCAGAGCGCAGCAGGGCGGACGCCGTGGTCCCCAGGCAGAACCACAGCTCCTGCCCTGTAGCTACCCGTGTGCTCAGGTAACTCAAAGGGAGTTGAAACAACTAGCATGGCTGCCCGGAATGTTCGCCCTCCTGTCTACCGTCCACTCCTTTCCAGTAAGGAGGGCAGACAGAGAGCATCTTCTCCACCTGGGGGCAGGGGCCCGCCCGCCTGGACCTGAGACAGCCGCCCCTGCCCAGCCAGGCTTCGAGAACCCCAAACCCCACACGTGCGCATTCTCACCACTGGCAAGTGTCCGAGTAATACCATCGGTAGAGCCACATCGACCTGGTGTCCATGCGGTGGTTAATGGAGCGATACTGGAAGTGAACGGTCATAGAGGGGAGCGTCAGTGAGGGTCCCCTCGGTCTCAGTGCCATACAACACAGCCAGCCACACGCGGGCCCAGGGTGGGGGGACAGGTTGTAGGGTGAGCTTCGACTCAGCAGGCGGACAAGGTGCCCCACTGTGACCCAGCAAAGCCACACTGTGCCAAGCAGGCAGAGCGCATCCCAAGGGGCAGACCCCTGGGAAGGCAGGTCCATCGAAGGGACACTCACTTTCTGAATGCACAGCTGCGCCCATGTGCCTGGGAGCTCTCTCCCCTGTGCGAGGCCCACACCCTGCCCCACTTCAGCTGTCACCCCCAGGAAGCCTGCAGCCTAATTCCACGATTGGGCACGGCTCACTTCCATATTCTATTCCCCTGTCCCCCTGAGTGTCATTTGCAGGCAGGGGATGGTCTTGCCATCTTCGGGCATCTTTCACAGGAACGGATGAGGCGGCAGACAACAGGTCTGCAGTAGGCGGCAAATCAATACAGCGAATGACTGGGGACTCTGAGTAAGAAATCCCAGCACCCACTTTTAGGGTTACGTGGACCACACAGTCTACCAACCTCAGCCTTGACCCCAGCACAGCGAGGAGTAAAGGGCCATCAGGACATGCCCACAGCCCCACAGCCCCAGACAAGCCCAGGCCCCGCCACCGGGAGCGGGCGCTGCCCACCTGGATCGCGTCTTCGATAAAGATCACAGCCTGTTCAAAGCACAGATCCCGCCTGGCCTCGGCACCTGGGGGCAGAGAAGGAGCACACTGGGTGAAGAGGGATCACATGATGCCCAGCGCTGCAGCGTGATGGACGTCAAGGAAGGAACCTGCCTCCGTTCTCTCTCCAGGCTCCGGACCAAGATGCCTTTCACCTGCTGCGTGTCCACACCCGCCCAGAAGAGGACCCCACTCGGCGCCCTGCCCGGTGTGTGGCGGGGCCTGAACTGGGACAATGGCCTTTCGCTGTGTGCCAAGTACTCCGGTTCCTGCCCCGTGACCGAATCCCTGGGGAAGAAATGGAATCTGGCCTGGAGAGATCGAAGGATACAGCTTCTGAGATAAGAGACAAGCAGCCGGGGCTCAGGCTCGCTCCAGCCCCAGGACCAGGGTGCAGCTGAAGGGGCTCAGGCCCGGGCAGGCCATTACAGGCCAAGAGTATGGGGCACCCCGGAACCATCCAGCACTCATCCAACACGATCGCCTGGCTTTGGTGGTTGCTGTGTAAAATTCTGGGTGTGGCCACCTTAGCTCACCTGGCCTTCCGCCCTCCCTCCAGGAACCAAACCGCAGGAAGGCCCATCCCACCCAGCTTTGCGGCCCCAGGCAGCGGCTAGGCAGAGACTCAATGAGCTGTTCTCAGTCCCCACTGCCCCCGGGTCTCCAGAGCCAGCCAGGTAGCCTGGCAGGGAGATCCTGTTCACATTCTCAGAGGCTCTCGCTGAGGCCACAGCCTCTGGACAAAGCGCATCCCCCCGCCTCCCCCCAATGTCATCCAGGACCTGTGCTGTCATGGTACTCCTCCGTTTAGAAGGGCCATTAGCACCAGCTCCCAGGCTGCCCTGGCCCTGGGCTGTGGGCATTCCGCGGGTCTCCCCAGACCTCCAGACACAAAGTCTGTGCCTGAATGACACCATGCGTCCCTGTCCATGGCCCTCCGAGGCCTGGCACGGGCTGGATGGAGAGCTTTCCGGGGACAGTCTCCGAGATGGGCAGCAGGCGGCCACCTGGGCCTCTAGTTTTCTCATCTCTCCTGTCAAGATCAGCCACTGCTGTTCCCTGGATGGGTACACACACAGACCCCTCCCAGACAGAGGAGAGTGAACCCAGAGAGGGAAAGTGGCCCAGGACGGAGCACCCCGCGCGGTGCCAGCAGGAGATCCCAGGGTTGTGACCTGGGTGCCAGCAGGAGATCCCAGGGCTGTGACCTGGGACAGGTCCCAGCGTGTCTCTGAGCCTCAATTTCCTCCCCGGTAAAAGGAGGCTGAAGCCCTTGGGAGAGCTGGACTCCGCCCTCCCAGCCCTCCTCCCCAGCCCTCCTCCCTTCTGGGGATTCAGCAATCTCTCTGCGGGGTAAACAGGAAGGCCAGGAGGGAGAGCCCAGGGCAAGGGGAGGAAGCTGCCCTGGTGGGGAGAGGCCTGCCCCAGCCCCAAACTGAAGGGGACCAGCCCCTGGGGAGCCTCCTAGGACCGGGAATGAGAAGGCAGAGCAAGAGGAATCCCACCTGGGCCACTTCTTGGCCGTGTGACCTTGGGTAGGGAGATGCCCCCCTCTGTGCCTCAGTTTCCCCGTAAGAATCAGGCGGAAATGGAACTGCTGCCTCCTAGGAGTCACCGGGCGACCCACGAGAAGGACGCGGTCTGGGTCCACCCCGGCACCCCGAGGGGGCTGCAGAGGGCTGGCCGCCAAGCGCCGACTGAACGAACCGGGGCTGCGCGAGGCGCTCTCCGCCCGGGGGTCCGGGGCAGGAGCGACCCCGCAGCGTCTTAACGCCGCCCCGCTCCCTCTTCTTCTGTGTCGGACCA